TCTACAGAATGCATGCACTTCTTCCTTCGATAAACTACATCCTTACGAGACATATACTCACCTCCTCGCCCACTCACTGCCTAACGTAGCCCTCAACCTCTTCGTAAGAGTAAGACCCTCCTCTCTCTCTCTCTCTCTCTCTCTCTGTGACACTCTTCACCATTTGAAAGTGAAGGAAAAGTGTTTTGAAACTGTAGGGTCGATATGAGGTTAATGATAGGAATAGGAGGAGAGAAGAAGCTGTCAAGCATTGGATTCGAGACAATGATGGTTTCTATGGGGCATCAAGCATGTGGTGCGTTGTGCCTATGGAACTACCCTTCTTGGATGAGAGACCTCGTCGTCCACGATCCGCATGGGCGAGAGAGACCACATCCTGTGGACATGGCAGCTCTTGAGAGTATTCATCTGATAACCAGCCCCTCTTCTTTTTCCTTTTTTCAATTTCCTTCTACTTGCTCTTATCAGTCAAGTTTGATTCAAATCTTCAAATGAAGTGAGTGAAAGTAGGAGACTATTTATTTTTGGTACAAAAAAGTCACAATATCGCTTCAAGCTTTCAGATGTGAAATCAGTTGACTAGAGGAGTGCTACGAAGTTTAAGAAATTTTTCTTTTTTGGACTCTTGAAACGGTCAATAGCACACTTTTAATCCCCAGATTTTACATCTAAAGCTTAAGGATCATTGAGACCACCTTGTATTTAAGGTAAATAATACTATTCTAGGAAACACGCTTCTATTTACAGAGGAATTTTTGTTTCTTTGTTTAGAAAGGTCCATAGCAGTATCTTATCAATGTTGGCTACCTAATTTGATGCCTGTAATTTTCTTTTCACCTTTCAATTGAGGTATAAGATTTAATCTGCTCATCATCTTTCAATTGAAGTACATGATTTAGTTACCCTATCACCTTTCAATTGAGGTATAGGATTCAATTATGGAATCAGTACCAATTGAGCTGTTAATTTTGCAAATTAGATACATGTTTAAGAATTATTTGCACCTATAACTTGACACATACATTGGGTTTGGTTCCCATCAGTCTACCGTGACAGAGAGAGGAAGGTGGCCCGGTACAACGAGTTCAGAAGGAATCTCATGATGCTTCCCATCACCAAGTGGGAGGATCTCACTGATGACCAAGATGCCATTTCAGCACTGCGAGATGTTTATAGAGATGATGTGGAGGCGCTGGATCTTCAAGTGGGACTACTTGCTGAGAAGAAGATCAAGGGCTTTGCCATCAGTGAGACAGCTTTCTTCATCTTTCTCCTCATTGCCTCCAGGTAAATCAATCTCTCTCTCTCACACACACACACACGTGTATGACAAGTCTATTTGATCACAGGAGACTAGAGGCTGACCGCTTTTTCACAACCAACTTCAACAAAGAAAGCTACACAGAGAAGGGGTTCGAATGGGTTAACAAGACCGAGAGCCTCAAAGATGTGATTTATCGCCATTATCCCGACATGATAGATAAATGGATGAGGAGCTCAAGTGCTTTTGCAGTTTGGCACTCCAACCCCGATCCTCCTACTTATGTCCCTATGTACCTTCGCATGCCTTCATGAAAGTATATACCAAAATTAGGCTCGGGCTTTAATTTGTTACGGTTCATGATAGCAACACTATGTCCCAAGTTCAATTCGTATTGTTGCACTACCCAAAGAAGAAATATATACATATATATAACCCGAAATGGCATCAAACCTACAAGATTGTATTTCAATAGGATATAATGCGGCGACCTAGATCCTATCGCTTGTTTTGTAATATTATTTTGTAATATATAAAGTTTTAGTAATTAGTGTTTATGACCCAAGGCACCAACATCAGGCAAGACTTTTTTTTGTAATGATACAAACTCACTTCTATAATGGTTGATCAGTATTCTTTTATCGTCTTTTCCTTTTATGCTTCTCCAAGATTTATCTTAGGAGATTTAAAGGGAAGTGTGGAGAAATGAGTTCGAAGATACATTATGAAACTTGTTCAAAGGGATACTTCCTTAAGGTTAACAACTCAATTTTCAGTTTCCACTGTAGAAGGTATTTGCACTATATTTTCCTTAGAGCTAACATTTCACCATATCAAATTTGAACTTTGTCATTCAAGGAGCCTTTATGAAGTTTCTTGTTCTTTTCTTTTCTTTGTCTGACACTGGTGATTTTATGTAGCGCTTTTTCTTCATTTGGCCATAAATTAGTCTTAAAACAAACATTTCACTTTAATCTCAACACATGCTTGAGGGAACATATATAATTTCCAAGAAATGGAGGGTAAACCCTATAGACTCTAGACCTCCACTAGCTCACAAATCTTCATCCTCCCTTTAGAATACCACACAAAAAAGGCAATTTAACAAAAGCTTCGAGTACCACAAAGCTTAAGGAGACAAGGGCTAGGGCCCATAGTCTAGGAAGGATCTCCAAGTCTACCTAAAGTTTGCATGGCATTGACAAAGCACTGTAGCTATTGAGCACATAATTTTCTTATTAAAGGTATTACCACCAATATCTTATGCGAGTGTGATTGTAGTATGGAAAGCACACCATTTGTATACCAACTAAGGAAATTTATAAAAATACCCAATTATTTAACAATTTGCCCATCTGCAGATATTCCATCTCAAGACCATGTGTTTTCTCGTGCATATTTTGAATAAATGAGTAAGATATTATTTCTCTTATAGAGAATGTGACAAATTTATATAACAACATAAGGTTTCTAACCTCCACTCCTAGCAACACTGCAAAGATAAAACCATGGTTATCAAGACTGAGCTGGATATGAACAGGCAGACTACTGACCAATGTCTTAATCATTCTACTCCAAAGCAAATATAAGTTTGGGTAAAAATCAATTAAAGTCATGATCAGTTTTAGTCTATTATTGCTTTAGACCTACTAAATAAAAGTAGGCACTTCTTTTATAATATATTTCATATTTCTATAGTATTATTCGCTTTTCTTTCTAATCTAGCATAACCGATTCAATGAACAAATTAGTTTTGATTATACCACTTTCACTAGTTCAATGGTCAATCCGCTCTGATAATTCCAAATAAAACCATTCCCACACTTAAACAAAACATGCAAATAGTTTATCACCACCACCATCATTGAGAATGGACAGTGGATACATGTATCAAGAATATATATATATATATATATAATACAACAGGTATATGCTTCCTTTTGGAAAAACCTCTAGAAGTATTTTTAGGACCTCTGAAATATAAATTCAATATAGCGACCAAGCTTAGAAGAAAAAAATGCTCACATTTTTAACCAATAGAAAAAATCCAAAGATGAATACATACTATCCAATTTTCAGACAGTTTGATCAAAATATTTAGAAACTCAAAATCCAATTTCCTTTCCTAAAATACCCATATGATCCTAAAGTATATCCCAAAATTATAGATCATAAAAATTTCTTTACCCAAGCCAGATTGGTGTAGGTCAATCCTCTTGGGACCCAGGCCAAACTTGGGTCAGAGCCAACCCCACCCGTTGCTAGGCCTAACCATATACTCTTATATATATTTACTTTCCATATTGTAATTGATAACATGATGAACAAAAAAATTGTTTACTCTCTCTCTCTCTCTCTCTCCTCCCGCCCGAAGAAAGATGGCACCATTGGCATTTTAAGAAAAAAAGTTTACATAAGAATGTGGCTTGAAACAATCAAATTAAGACACCTCCAAAATTTACTAGAAGATATTTTGATGTTGAAATATCCTCAATTTGATCATGTTGATGTGAAGATGTATGAAAATAAAAATAAATAGATTTCAAATATTAAAAGACATCTCGTAATGTATTATCTAGACCATAAATTTTCAAGATTTTCAAATGTTCATAGATCTGCTTGATCTATACAATTTTTTAATATTTAAATCTTATAATTAGAGATAAAAATAAAATTTTGAGGCCGTCATAAAGATTTTTTAAAGTGAAACAACATATTTTGGTACTATTTAAAAGTGCACCTTACTTTGATTGTTTAAGGCCTCAACCTTATACAAACCACACTCCTTTAAAGAAAGACTTGTTAATGCAATTCCCGAGATGCTTCTTTTAAACATAATTTATCAAAATTGCCTTTGCTGAGAGCCGAATGAATACATAAGGAAATAAAGAATTCTGAACAAGACCTCCCTTGCATCAGCAATGACCAAAATACCCTTCTTTGAATGACCAAATTACCCCCAAATGAACCAGACCTGAAGTTCTCTTTCTTCAAACAAGCACAAAAGAAAGCTCATCATCTTAGGAAATGACCATAATGCCCTCCACAAGTCACCAAAGCACCATCCTCCATGGCTGTTTCTTTGGGTCCCCACCATCAAGAGCGAGCAATAAATTTAAGTATGCTCCCATTACCCATCTTTGGGCACCCATTTTTTCCTCCTGTTCTAAGATTTTTCTTATTTCTATTGTTACTATTTTTGTTACTAATGCCACCACTAGGAGTATTACAACCCCTGCTGTTCCTATGATCACTATCTTTATTCTTATGATTACCTCTAATATCAGGACAACAATTGCTTCTGCTACTACTAACACTATGATTATTATTACTCTCATTATCGCTTGTATTGGTAATGTTACAAAGTATCTTGAACTCAAGGAGCTTCGATTCGACACTCGCTTGTGACTCCGGCGTGTTGCACAAATTCTCATCAGGGTCCCCAGCATCAATCACTGCAGATATTGGCTCGCTCTCGTCCTCTTCAGGGGTTGTGAAGGTTTCACTTGTTTTCCTTTTCTTGAAAGGATTGTTATTGGGATAAAGTACTTCTGCACATTCCACCGTTGCGGAATTTTGACAAGCTTTTAGCTGGAAAACCAATTTTCTGAGTGCCAATGCTTCATTTGAGAGCATCCTTTTCTCTGACGCTGAGACCACCCTCTGCTCTGTAACTGTCAAACGCCATACATGTAAGTAAACCGTGATACGGAAGAAACCTCATAGTTCAGTATATGTTTAAATGCATAGCAAGTGAGCATGAGCACAATGGTGGTTTCAAATCTCCATTAATTTCCATTTCCTACGAGAAATAATCTAATGGACCATATTTTCAAAAAGACTGGCAAATCTCAAAAACTGGCAAATCCTGGTCCATTTGGTTTATCTCAAAAACAGGCATTGTGGTTATTTCTGAAAATTGGAGCACTTGATTTGTCTCCTTAAAGTATACACACCAGCGGCGTATGGTATGTGGTAAAGCACAGGGATAACCGCCGACCATTCTGCAATATGGACGGTGGAAATTAAACATGATTTCTGATGACAAACTCATGCCTGAACAGTTAATCTCCACCACATGTCCTGGTGAAGAGACAATGGATGCCCCTCTACGTGTAGCATATAACATACACCGCATACTTCCTTTTCTTTGAGAGATCATTTATTTCAGTGATTGTCTTGTGACTAGACTATGATACCCCTTAACTCTCATGTGACCATAATAACTCTCTGTGCATCACATAAACACTACGGTATCCGTTTACTTTCAGAAAGGAAGAATCATTTGAAAGCTTAGGAACTGCCTGTGAACTTTTCTTCTCTAGTAGTAGAAGACTTGTATGTGGCAAAACATGCCGTCTGCTGTGTTTGCATTATGTCAAAAGCTTCAGTGGGTTGTGAGCAGTCGAAAGCTTCCAATGTGATTGGATCCAAATGCCCCTCAGCTATGGCCACTGCTATTGAACATGGGATTTCTCTGAGTTTCTTGTCATGGTAAAAGCAATGAGAAACCAATCATATATCATCAATCTAACATGGCAGAGAGAGAGAGAGAGAGAGAGAGAGAGGT